GAAGGATATAGTTTATCTATAGATACCTGTTTAGCCACTCGTGATCGACTAGTTATTATACCGCAAATTAGTTAAAATATCCCGTAATCTATCTAGAGCGAGCGTGCATGCGAGACAGATATTGTGCTCCAAACCGTGCGCGCGCATGGCAGAGAGGTCTGTTCCCTACAACCTAGAGTTTTTAAAAACATGGTTTTAAGTAAAGTGTGATTTGCCAGGGGGGATTGTGATTTCCTTCTGGTCTAAACATCCCTGCTTCTGCTGAATTATTTTAATCCCCACACCCCTCCCTCCACAGCTAATCAATGCTATAGGCTACTTCACCAATATCAAATATAAAATAGAGATATGCAACAGGCACGTTTAAACGACAAACAATAAAATCAAAACCAGCGTTTCAGTTGTTCATTAGTTCCAGTGGCCTTAATGCATGCACGGCTTTTCAAATTTCACAAAGCGTGTTGAGATTATTTTGAATGAAATATTGAAGTTTATAATTAAGTGTTTTGGCACACCACGCCGAGTGGCCCTATGCATTTTTCTAAAGTCGGGTTTTATTCTGGCATGGTGAGTTAGTGTTCGACAAACGCGGCGGCGCGTTCATTTAGATTAATTTATTTATCTCATTATTACAGCTAAAATAACTTAGTAGGCGACTCCGTAATTTTTTGGTCATACAGATAAGAGTAGAGTAGCTTACATCGTTCAAAACTGTAAACTTGTATTCATATTAGGCTAACGACAAAAACAGTAGGCTATATCTGTCGTCTCTGTCTCCGGGAACTGCGCGTCACAAAAATGAACCGAAAGCCACTTCAGCTCAGTCACGATAAGAAATCGGCTATGTCTAAAGCCTTTAAATGTCTAAATATTTAGGCTAATAAATGTTATCTGATTATAGGCTAATCCATATGAAAACTAGAGGAACAGAGGATCTACTCAAACATGCAATGTAAGCGCTTCCCAATGAGAAAATGACAAGACAAGGGTGAAAATCTCGCTCTAATTAAATGTAGGCTAAATCGCCCTGAATTAAAATGTAAAAACAGATCAAATAATGTATTTGTCGAAATGTTGCAATATTGTTTCATTTAAGTTCATAATTGTTCTATAAATGTTATTTAATTTAGCAGCATTACCACGAAGCACCGTGTTTCGATATTTATTTGAATAATACAAAATCAAATAAAAACTTAATTCACAAATAGCATGCCTGGTTGTAAGGACCCAAAGATCCCTGTAGAATTTAATATTGAGTTGAACATTTTGTTCATGACAACAAATTAACAAGCGTTTTTTCAGATTATATTTAGTTTTGCTTGGAAAAAGCTGCCCCAAACCAGTTTTATTTCATCAATTATTGAAATAATGAAATATTTAGTAATAAACTTTTATGACAGAAATATCACTAGGCTACATGTAATTCCATTTAATTCCTTCATTATCAACACTGTCTAGAATAGCGATTTAAGTCTGAATTGCGACTTCTCTTTGTGTTAAGTCAGCCTCAGACTCCGATAGCCTGTGGGGGGTTGGAGGGACAGTTGCTGAACAAAGGTGTTAATGTTCCTCTTTCATATGGAGAGTGTCGGATAGCCAGCCTGATGAGCAGGCAAAATTATTGTAAGGATAAATCTGTGTCCAAATGTAGGCCCCATATTTTATATAAATTTATAATAGTAGTTTTAGTATATTATAAATATTGTAGTTTATTTATTGTAGCCTATTTAAAGTTTTTTTTCACACAAAATTTCAATTGAAGTTATTGTACGGTGAATTCAACAAGGCATGCTGTGTCTTTGAAGCAACAATTAAAGGCTAAATAATTTTTTCGTGATTTGTATGGCTGACACGCAGCGACATATACAGTAGTATTATCAGAGCGAGGGAGACTAAATAAACTTGTTAAAAAGAGATCCAGCGCGAGAGAGGCAAAGAGAAACGCATGTTTTTAATTTAAATATGTTTCTTTGGACAATTTTCGTTTTGTACTGTTTTAATTGTTTAATTTAGCTGTAATTTCTTTGGCAATACGAATTTAAAATGTCGCAAGAATAAGATTAGCCTATTGTTTCTTATTTTGCATCGCAAAAGAAATAAACTCTAAACCGATGCAACCCTGTTTTAAATTTAAAAAAAAACTGTCCCGACACTTTATTTAAACCTTGAAATGTTCGAACTTGGTTTCAAACATAAGTAATTTTTGTGTTCTTTTACATTACACAATAATTTAACAGACTAAAGACGAGCTTCTTCTTTTTCATTTTCTGATGCAATCGGCTGACAATCTTCCTTCATCAGTTTTTGTCGTTTGTGCAGCGGCTGCGGTTCTACAGGAATGTAGCAAATTTATGTTGTAATGATAATCAAACAAAACTCTTGACTTTAAATAAGTAAACAGATATAAACAGTTACCTATTTAAGCATCAAGGTGGGAAAATATAAACGTAGGACAACATCGGTTAACAACATGTATGCTACATTGAGATTCGATCTCGGGTCGATTGAAGCTCCTCGAAGCTCGTGTCGTTGCGTTGATCACTGAGCTACCGTCTGTACGCTGATAAAGTTGTAAAGCCTCATTCATGTAGCCTAAATGTTTTTATTGCAATGTTTTATGTTGAAATGTTTTCATTATTTATTCAATTACATTTCAGTAGCCTAATTTCAGTATTGTGATTATGAATTATTTTAACTACATTTCACTTGTTGAATTCTTCTGCTACCAGCTTTCAATCGCTCTGAATCAGCACGGTGCGGCAGCAGATTACGCATTAGAGAGAATAAACCGGAATAAACAAACACTTTTCAGAGTCTATGATTGTAGCGCCTCTTAGCGGTAAAAGGCAGCAAATACACCACACATTTTACCGCCGCGGTGGAACGGCTGATGTGGGCATTGTCATGGCTTGCCGACATTTGCGTTTGAATAGCGCGCGTCCTCCGTGGGCGTGTCAGATTAACGCGTAATGAAGTGTAATGAGCTGGGGAAAAAAATACTGACAGCACTCTCTTTTCATACAGATTGCATAAACTGAGAATATTTGTTTTTTATATAAATTACTTCATTTAAAAGAAGAGAATTTAAGCTTCATAAAGAAAAACCTCTCGTGCCTGTGTGACAAGTAATCGCGGAGTTACAGTTAATCTTAGGACGCGTTTCAGAATGGACTTCACTGACAGAGAGAACGCAGAACTCGCATCATGTTTGTTTTTCTTTATTTGGTGAAAAGCACAACACTTTGTTTTTATTGTGAGTATCCACAAAAAAAATAGAAACTTAACAGGATCTAATGATGTACAACACTTATATGTAAGATCAAAATTAACCGAGTATTTTGAGTCTCTTTTACACTGATAAGAAAAAAAGCGAGACAATCGCGCCGGCGCGATAGCCGACCCCAGGGGGTTAATGTAGATCCAGTGTAAAACCCGGACAACCCCACACAAATGTGTCTTTTTGTTAATGACTGTCCTACTACAGGATTTAACACAGAGTAACAGCTCACTACCAGTTACAAAAACACTGTAAAAGTCTGTCACAGGCAATTCTAGTTGCATTTTTCATCAATTAATTTCTTAAATTATCCACTGACTATGTTCTGGCCCGCCATCTAGTGTCAAAAATATTTTTTGGCCCGATGCCAATCTTACTTGCTGACCCCTGATGTAAAGAGTTCACTATGCTAGGCGCATCCAAAATACTATCTAAAGATCTAGCATTCTTACCATCCTCAATTAAAGTTTGGATGCGTGTCTCTAGTTCTGAAATCTTCTCCGTCAGCCTGACTGTCTCCTTGCATTTATCACATATAAATCCTATATTGCCATCGGAGAAGGCTATACTAAACATATGACGTGACACAGGTGACAATAACAGGACAAGACATTACTCACCGTGTTTGTTGACTCACCGTGTTTGTTGACTGATTCTTACTCACCTGGGCCTTTTCTGAACTCAAAGGCGCGGGCGCGTGATATAAAATAAATAAATAAATGAGCGCACGGGTGGCGCGTAAACAGGCTAGCGAGTTACTAGTGTGTTGTGCTAACAATAACGGAAGCTAGCGGTGTAAGGTTAATCTGAGATGTTGGGTAAGATGTATTTAGTAGTATAAACAACTAGAAATGATGGTTCAAAACAGAGAGAAATACGAAGCTAATGAAACAAAGTCAACACTCGTGGGCGGGGCCTGTGGCTGTAGTGACGTCACTAAAGCCGCATTCTGAAAACAGGTCGTTGGGAGACACTGCTTATGATTTATGGGGATTTAAAAAGGATTTTTATCACTGTAGGGTGATTGTTTACACACACTGCCAACACACATGTATGTCCAAACACCATTCAAAAGTGAATTTTGCATAATAGGTCCCCTATAAATTCATAAAAGAAATAAGAATTACAGGAATACTAGATTCTAAACCTTAAAGAAATGCCACAATCAAGACCTCGGAGCAGAAATGAGGGAGAAACGCAGAGAAACACCTCATATGTGCCGTTCACAGTATAAGGGTCTTTCCTTGCTTGGATAACACGCCACGTCTCCTTCCATTAATAATAATAATGTCTAATGTGGTTGCTCTGATTTATATAAACCTACCAACGTCCGTTGCTATGATTTTTGTAATGACTTATTGCGAGAGGAAAAAATTACGTTTTAGTCACATAACATCGGTTAATGGCAACGCCGTCATTTCGCAATAGTTTTTTATCGATATTTAGAAAAAATCGCTAAAGTTTTGCGCAAATCTGTAATGGAAACGCGCCTAGTGGTACATGACGCAATCCATCTGCATGTCATAAGTTTTAGTGCCACTATCCACTGTCACATGCCAACCGGATATGCCACTAAACACACCAATGGCTTATGTGTGTAAGATGCCATGCAACTTAGTGTTAATTGCTTCTCCTTGGCTTGGTTATTACAAATGAAGAGAAAGATTATAACCTGATTGCATTATGATTGTGAAACTCATTTTTGGGGCCTTTTCTTCCTCAGATTGTGTAGCTGCTGAACGTCAGGAAGATGACATCCACAATGTGCAATCTGTTATTGACTCGCTGGCCTTAGACTACCTCCAGATTAGTTTATCTCACATCACAGGTTAGGCATGTTTCACTGTCTCTATCTCACTTTTCATGGTCTCTAATCACTTGTCATTGGAGAAGGAATGATGCCATGTTATTTAAAAAGTGTCTTCCCAAACACTGTGAGAATTTGAAAAATGCCTGTCAGAGCACATGGTTTCTGTTCTTAATGCAGATTGTAGCTTCATGTACAGTGTGTAACACATGGTTTCTCTCTTTAGGTGAGAATATAGTCAGAGGAGAAAAAGAATCCATCAGAAACCTGTTGGAGATTTTTGATGGTCTGCTGGACTACCTCATAGAACAGCAGAGTGATGAGGAGCCCCAAATTAAAGGTGATTTATATCGCACATTTGTTAGTGCTCATCATTTGAACCAAAGGACTGAGATTACCAGGTGTTCCAAATTTGTAAGATGCCGATGATGCATAATTTTGCAGCTAAACAATTTGTATAAATTCTCCTCATGCACACATGCAGGGCTTAATGGAAAAAACAGTGATGCCACTGCAACTCTTCAACCTCGGAATCAGGACAGAGACAATACACAGTGTCGGGCCTTCAGCTTTCAGTAAGTGGTATACAACGATAATTGTGGGGGTTCACTTTCTCTGTTGCACTAGCAGGTTTTCCACTGTCTGCCCAGTGCGAGCCAGGGTTACCTGTGGGGCGGGGCAGGGCCAATAGTCTCCGATCTCGATCCGCGAGGCCAATTTGCGGCTCCTTTTTCCTACATCATAAATGACTTGAAAATTAAATGAAAAAAATAAAAAAATAACACTCTTATGAATTGCATTTTAAAATAAATGTTTTGGGTTTTAAAATATTTTAAAAGTAATTTATTTCTGTGAAGTAAAGCATTACTCCAGTCTTCAGTGTCACATTAGAATATGCTGATTTAGTGCTCAATTATTATTTTTCGTGCTTAATTATTAATCAGGGATGCAAACAGCGCGGTTTTCGGCGCCTCCCGCTTTTTCACGTCAGTTTGGGTGACTTATGTGAATCGTGCAGATCCGAAGAGTTTTTTAGGGGGGGAGGGGTGGATTCTGGATTGCCTCCACCAAACAAGTAAATAGGAAATAGGAAATCAGAACACTGTGTGCCAAAACAGCAGTATGCGCACAATCGTGAACCACTAGTGTTTCTTCTTGCTGCGTATCTTTTACTCCAACACGTCGCTCGCGAGGCGCGAGCTACCAGTAGCTCGTGGCCTGATTGGAGGTAGCTCGTCAAGGGGCCGTTCACATATCGTGTCTTTTGCGCGCTCAAGTTCGTTATTTCAAATGTAGGCGCGCGGCAAGCGGGCTCATCATTGAAGCGATGCGCTAATTTTTTCCAGGCGGAGCGAGATAAAAACACCTCAACTGTTCAGAATGCCGCAAGCGCACCGCAGGTCATGTGACAAGAACCAACCAATCAGCTTCACCTTTTTGTAACAACATTGAAAGCTCAGTCAACGTGAAGGATGGGTATGCAACCCAAACACCCGGGTGTTTTTCTCTTCTCCGTAAATAAATCTTGTAGCAGAGCTAATGTGTGCCAAGAAAACATTCCCCACACCATTACACCACCACCACCAGTCTGCACAGTGGTAACAAGGCATGGTGGATCCATGTTCTCATTCTGTTTACGCCAAATTCTGACTCTACCATCTGAATGTCTCAACAGAAATCGAGACTCATCAGACCAGGCAACATTTTTCCAGTCTTCAACTGTCCAATTTTGGTGAGCTCTTGCAAATTGTAGCCTCTTTTTCCTATTTGTAGTGGAGATGAGTGGTACCCGGTGGGGTCTTCTGCTGTTGTAGCCCATCCGCCTCAAGGTTGTGCGTGTTGTGGCTTCACAAATGCTTTGCTGCATACCTCGGTTGTAACGAGTGGTTATTTCAGTCAAAGTTGCTCTTCTATCAGCTTGAATCAGTCGGCCCATTCTCCTCTGACCTCTAGCATCAACAAGGCATTCTCGCCCACAGGACTGCCGCATACTGGATGTTTTTCCCTTTTCACACCATTCTTTGTAAACCCTAGAAATGGTTGTGCGTGAAAATCCCAGTAACTGAGCAGACTGTGAAATACTCAGACCGGCCCGTCTGGCACCAACAACCATGCCACGCTCAAAATTGCTTAAATCACCTTTCTTTCCTATTCTGACATTCAGTTTGGAGTTCAGGAGATTGTCTTGACCAGGACCACACCCCTAAATGCATTGAAGCAACTGCCATGTGATTGGTTGTTTAGATAATTGCATTAATAAGAAATTGAACAGGTGTTCCTAATAATCCTTTAGGTGTATATATATAATCAAAATATAAATGAAAGTCAAAGCACATTTTTAGTCATACCTGGAAACAAATGCTGTTCAAATAGGTTATATGGGCCATTCTATAGAATTGTTTCAAAGTTAGAGTTGGAAACATCTTGAAAAGAAAATTGTCTTTTTCCATAAATCTCTTATAAAGTATTATTTTTTTAAAGTAGGCCAATACATTTTATCATACATATTTCAAAGTTAAGGATTCATTATTTTGATATAGCCTAGCTTGCATTGGAACAAACACTATAACAGTTGATTAGTTTATTTTTGACAAAACATACTATATATTTAACATATGAGCAGAAACTGTCGTAACAAAAGCTTATTTGATGTCTATTTTAGAGTAAAAACTTTATAATCTATCCAAAACTAGTCAACGAAATGTTGTCATTACAGACACTATTCTATATCGCGATTAGAACAAATCTCAGTAGGCTATAGCAATATAGTTTGGATGTGTAAAAACGTTTACTAATGTAGGAGCGAGAGTGAATGAACGCACAGATGCGATGTACATCTGTAAACAACAGTTAATATTTACAGTAATGCAAGGAGTTAATTGTGTAATTATCGAAAATGTGTGTGGATAATTTAGTGTATTTATATTATATTGGTGATATTTTGGGAACAGAGGATTATCATAGCATTTTTTTATCTTTAACTGCATGCACCTTTGAGTGCTGGGAATACTCTCGCGAGAGTTAGTGAGCGAGAGTTAGTGAAGTTATCTGTGTGAACAGTCAGGCAAGCAGAGAGTGGAGCCACACAGTTTTTTTTTACCTTTACCTTACCTTTCCAACCTGATTATCTGATCCATGGGATATGAATGTTGAGCAGCCAAAAAGTAATGACACGCTTGCCTGTCAGTTTCTTAGAAGTGGCCACTTTTACAGCGATAAGCTTTTCTTTGACTTAGTGTAAAGCTTAAAAATGTCTTAAAAATGCTGACACACTGTATTTCTTGGCTGTTTAATGAGAGTTTTTGGATTACTTTACTGCTTTTCTCAGTCCTGGACGGAACACTTTTTTTACTCTTATTTGGCTATTGTTGCGGGGGTGTTATTGACATGTAAAAGTTTAGCCCCCGAATATAAGACGACCCCGTTTTTTTCAGATGTATTTCCAATAAAAAAACAATGTCTTATATTCGGAACAATACGGTATTACCAGTAATTGATTTCATTATTTTATCTTCATTTACAAGTAAAAACGTCACAATTACAGCCTTACTGAGCAATGTCCCTTTGCACCACCTGGTGGTGATTTTGCGAACGAGTGTCACATGTGACTGGGTTGTTTTTAATGCCACAGCTGCGGTAATAGGCATTTTGGTTGACTACCTTCTGTACATTAACTCATAGCTACACCATCAGTAAACTGAGAGATAAGCCGGAATTTTTTTCTCTTTCTTTCTCCAGATCTGCACTCCAGTCCAGCGAACGTTCCCTCTGTTCCTGGAATGGGGATGAATTCAAGTCAACCACTGAGCTCATCAAACTGAGGGATTCTGGCTGCATGTTCATGGCCAAACAAGAAGGTGCCTATCAGCATTAATCATTGCATTCCAGTTACCGAGTTTTCATTCATTACACATTGTACATGATGCTGTCATGTTTTTCTGTCAGTGGAACACAATATGCAAATTACAATCAATAACGATATAGGGGAGGGTTCTTCAACTCTAATCCTGAAAGGGCCAGAGTTTGACACTAACCCTAACACACTGGAACAAGCTAAGGCCAGGGCTTAATTTTCAGTGGCCAGATCAGGCCAGTACTGGGCATCACGGAAATGTATCATTTGCAGATGTTTTTAACTTAAGTCTTGCCAATTTAAACATTTAATCAATTTTAAAACATTCAAGCGCATGAAAGAGAACTTCATTCGGTACTTGTGTGTTCTCTGAGGGATAGTTTTGTGTGTTCATACCCAAAGCGCTTTTCAGACAGTGAGCGAGTACCTTTTACATGGCTTATTGTGCTTAAATGATCAAATACACACAAAAGGAGATACGGAGTCTGGGGAGTGAATTTCGAGAGGGAATGGCATTCCAGTTCAAACTGGTTAGATTTTTTTCAGGCAAATGAAAAGGATTTCTATCATTCAATTACTCAATAGCCTACAAAGGTGAAAAAAAAAAAAAAAAAAAATGCAGCTCTACTATTTGCAATTTGACAATATTATCGTATATCGATGATATTTCGTAAGTGTCCGATGTTGATTTCAACAGTCAGTTACCTGACAATTATCGACAATATCGGAAAAAAAGTACAAATTATAAACCTATGAAGTTGACAAATATATTTTACATAGCCCCATAGTTACCATACAAACCAAGCGTTTTTAATACTATGCAATTAGTTTATGGAAAACATTAAAGGTATTACAGATAAGACACCGGTTTGTGCCTATTTTCATTGCACTCACACACACACACACACACACACACACACACACAAGCAAGGGCATGAATGAAATATTTTCAATAGTAGTTTAGCCTACCTACAGCCTGTTTCAGAGGAATTAAATAAGTAAAAAAAGGAGAAAAAAACAAACAAACAAAATGCTGGCTGTGCTGTCTAAATAAAAAGAGTTTGAGTTTGTCTGTTGTCCGTCTCCTTTAACAGCTATTGCAATGTGTATGAGACGATGCTGTGATTTTGGTCAAACATCATTTATCCTTATTTTTGTAATTGTAATTTTTTTTTATTACAGATCTTGATTAGATGATTTTTTCGGTAGACAAAACCCATTCTACAAATTCAGAATTTTAAAAACAACATTATCAAGTCTGATAAAAGTTAAATAAAAAAAAAAATAGTAGCAGCCTATGTAACGGCACCTGTTCCTGATTGTTTATTGATTTAAATAGTCTACATAATGAATAAAAAAATCATGACAATTGTAATAAATTATTTATATATACAATTTAATTATTTAATAAAGATTTTTTGCAAACGGATGAATAAAATATAGTGCTTTGAATATCTTAGCTCAAGCTCAACATAACATAACATAGTCGAGGGGTTCCAGCGTTGGTGTCACTTTTATTTTGTTTTGGTTTAATTTTCAAAGACTTTTAGTTTGTGTCCTGTGCTCATCATTTGTTGTCATGGTAATTTATTATGTTATTAATTAGTGCACACCTTTTTTAATTTGAGTTCATTATCTTGTGTATATAAGACAGTTGCTGAATTCGGAACTGCATACTAGTATACTACTCGTACTACCTTTATCATATCTTTCTGTCAGCAGGGCTTGACATTAACTTTTTTGCTCACCAGACACTGTGGCTAGTGGTTTTTCAAAGTTACTAGCCACTCCGCATTTTCACTGGCCAAAATTTTGACATCGATACCATAGGGAAAAACTGCCATATAGATATTTTTAATATCTCATTATATGGCAGCCGGTATATTAGGCTGCTGTTGCTTTAAGACATGACGCACGGACCCATTATACTGTTTTAAATAGCCAATAATACTTGTCTTTATGTGCAAGCACTTTGGGTGTGAGCACAAAATCTGTGGGAATGAGTACAATAATGCTCAATATGCGCAATCCCTCACCCTGTAACCAACAATATTCATCCGGAGCAAATTAAACGAGCGAGTAAAGGGACGCGGGTTTGTGTGTCAACCATAGACTGTAAAGGGTGTCAACTCGCTGTCGGACAGATTAAAGAGGGAGAACGCATTGCTGGTGCATCCTGCGGAAGAGTTTCAAATAGTTTAGTATCGATATGTATCGAAAAATCTATGATTGCACTTAGTTTATCATTTCAGATGCCTTTTTAAAAGACTGCAATTGAAAAATGTATATTAGGCCTGTATATCAGCCCGCCAAAGTGGCTAGTAGGAGTGACTGCGTTACACGCCACTGCTGAAATCCACCCGCATATGGCGGGTTGGCAGGTGTTAATGTCAAGCCCTGTATGCCAGAAACAGGTTTGAAATCCACACTTCAGTTCTCTGTGTTCATTGTCTGGTATTGGTCATGTTTTTGTACACACTGTTGTATGGATATCTCTTTTGTTCTGAGTTATTAAAGCTTTGCTGTTATTTGTGTTGATTCATCCTAGTATCTGTCTTCATCAGTTGTGACAGTTGGCAGTTCCGTTATAGTCTATTGGGAGCGTTGTGCTTTTGCTGTAGTAAGAAAATTATTTTATTAATAAAATAAAATTCCGCACATTGCATTATCTTCGTGAAAAATTTAACTTGCAATTTACACTTTAAGGTGATGAAGTTACATTGTACTTACTCAAATAAGTACTGAGTAATATTAATTAACTACATACTTTAGAGTTATGGTTAGGGTTTGGTTTAGGGTTAGTTACTTGTAATTATGCATAATTTACTGTTATTACTATAGTAAGTACTTGTAGTAACGTGTAACTGTCACCTTAAAATAAAGTGTTTCCAAATATATATATATACCACTATACAGTGTTATGGATTTTTTATCCCCAAACCTAACTATATTAGATTTGGCTCCCTAATACTAACTATACTAGTATAACTTATACGCTAGCACGTCTAAATATAATTGACGTTAGCTACGTTCACACATCAGCGAGTCTCCAGTCGACTACAGCGTCCGCTCCCTAACTATACATCAGCGAGTCTCCAGTCGACTACAGCATCCGTCTAAATCCTATACTTCAGCAAGTCTACAGTTGACTACAGCGTCCAGAGCCGATAATTCTAACTTACTTGTTCTCTTGCTGCGCAGCTTAAATGACAGACAGACTTGAGTAATTGTCCTTTAAATGTTCGTTATTATGGCTGGGAGTCTCGAGCAGTTCTCAGAGAATCTCCCAAAAAGAAGCAATAAGCATGGCCGGTGGATCGAGAATCCCACCAGTAAACACAAATACAACAGTTTTTATAGAATAGGGAGGTATGGCAAAATTACATGATACATCATATCATTTCCCTACAATTTGATTGGTTCTTCATTACTTCAAATTTAGTCTAGTTTCATTTCCCATATTTGTTATTTATACACACACACGCACACACTCAAAGTCATAAGTTTTCCATTGGTTTCGTTCAGTACATTCTGTTCAAATGTTAGATGTTAAGTAAGGTCAGATGTTAGTCTAACCTGGTTAGTTTAATATATATAGTTTAAATTTTCCACCACAGTTCCCCTCTTTGGCCATAATCAAACACGGCCATATTAAATTTAAATTATTCTAATCAATTTTCCATGTTTCATCTTTTACTTTATAATACCTGTAAAATATTCCTTCAATCAGAATCCTAAGCTGTAAAGAAAACACAAGCACTTTTCCCAATGTCAACACATACACATACCATCTTCTTCCAATTTCAAACAACTTCAAACAATCTAATTCTATCTAACTAACCATACCATAGTACATTGCCTTCTAACTTTAGTAGACCTTCCTTGAGTCAAGTTTTAGTATCATCTTTTTCTGGAATTCGAATCACATTGATCAATTGGGCCTTTAAAAGGCTGATACTTCTGATTAACCATTTTTCTAAACCTTATTCTTTTTAGCTTTTAATTCAAGCTGGCAATTGTTTTACTAATCAGATCTATTTAAGGATCTGTGTAATAAAATCTAACCAAAAAAGTTCTATAATCTTTGCATTTTTATACTTAACACAAATATCCAGAATTTTGTTTCAAACAATGTCATTATTTTAAAATTAACTCACCCAGCTCTTTCCATGAGAATAGCCTTAGCTGGTGACATGTCATTTAATCTTTAACTACTTATCTTCCTAAAATCCTATTTTTCCAGAATTAACTGATGGATATAACTTATACTGCCTCTAATTTTTGAAAATGCGGAATAGTTCATACTGGATCCATTGATCCAGATCATTACATACTCTATTTCTCTGAATTGTCTAAACTGTTTAGACAAATTTTTAGTTTAAATTGAACATGTTTGGGTTACATGGTTCTTGGTCTTGGTTTTTAACTTTGTACCCTAACACATTGAAGACCTTTCTCAACAAAACAATAACAAAGCAATATTTTTTTTCTGGAAGCCGGGCTAAATAAGCAAGCACTGTTGCTGTATTCCTAGCTAGCTAGACCCGCAGTCACCTCTCAGATATCAAATACAGACTTTAGACAATACATGTATGGAACATTTCAGTAATCACACTGGTAACTTCTTTAACTAATAATAATCCAAAAAAATAAATATGTTTCCTAAAAAATGTATCCCCTTTTGAAAGTCTTTTTCTATTTTAGCAATTGGAAACACCTAAAATAAATTTAATATTTATTCATTCATCACTATGGAAGTTTACCCAATTATCTATTCAGACCTAATCCGGCAAAGTAACTTATCACCTATTCTCTCTTATTAGAAAACAACTATTACAACTATTAAATTTTTTTAGCATCTATGATGTCTGCATTAGAATTTTAAAACCTTCAAGTTTCTTGAATAATAGTCCCTATATTATTTATTATTTTTACAGTAATGTACCTAGTTAGAGTCCATATACTCTACAAAATTAAAAGATTTTCTTCTTCTCAATTTACGTG